AGAGCGTCGGATCGCCATTCGGGCAATTATACTTGCAAGGCCAACAACGCCCAACCGGCCCGCGTCCTGGTGCATGTTTTCAAAGGCGACAATCCAGCCGCTATGCAGCACAGCATGGCATCGTCGCCGTCAGTGATGGCTTGCACCGCTTTGCTCACCATGTTCGTCACGCTTAAGCTGGCATTGCAGACGAACTGGACCTTGTGACGCGTGTGAATGTAAGACTCCGTGCGTGTTGGAATCCGAAATGTGTGTTAGCGAAATTGTGTAATGTTATCACTTATCGTGTCTCATCCTTTGTCGCGTGACTTCGCGGATTGTATCGTGCAAGGATGTGAGTGCCCTAGTTTACTCGCCGAAGTTGTAGAACGGCGGTATAGTCATGGTGTTTCCAGTTAAAGATACATCGTTATTATTGATATCGGTGGCACCGGAACTCCCTTAGAGCTGCGAGATTGGCTGTGATTGATTACTATCCCTTCGGATCATCAACTTTGCCCAATAACGAACAAAATAACGACGGAGGACCAGCTGTGATCATTTTCCGCCATCGAGCCATTTAATCTGCCGTATGCGCGTTCAATTACGATTCAATGAGGGATATGTAACAATGCAGTATGCTAATGTAAAGCAGGATAATGTCATCGCTACAAGATTATTAATGATCGATCATCATTTGTTCGTCTGTATATCGACGAAAATTTCTGGATTCAGGAAATATCATGTCTAAACAGATATCGATATAATAAGAACATCGTAATAAGTAACCTGTTCGCGCGCACGTAATTGAACGGTCATCTGTCGGACCAAAAAAGTTCAATCCTAGCCTGGAATAAAGTGCCATCATAACTTTCAGATGAATCGCACTATGTCATCCGTTCTTCTATCGATCGATCGCTTACATTCCGTGTCGCATGTTGGAACGAGAAATATTAGGTCGTAATGCAGAGGCAGATGATATCGAGAGAGAGTGTTGGATTAACTCCCGGTAAGATAATATTTACGATCGATCGTCTACGATTCGCGTGCACATTTGATGGAAAAAAAATTAACATTGATACGAACGAAGACAGGCTCATCAATTCTCTTTCTCTCAGCAGCTAATAATACGAAGAGTTCGATAAATACGCCCCATACCGATTTCGATGAACTGGAATTTCTATGCGCATGAATGTGAAACGTACGTATACGAATGAAAGTGGTTAGAGAGATCCTGATTTATTTACGCTGATCGCGGACAACGTATGTAATTACATGGTTAAATTTAAACCGGTAGAAAAATCACACACACACACACATGCGCGACAGATACTTTATTGAGAGTGTGCTCATCTTATTTATGACGCGCATGAAAGTAAGATTGATAACGCGGATCGAAACTATTCGTAATACGTCAAACCACGATGCGTGAGCATCAGGGATCGCCAGCGACGGATGCATTAAAGTAACGACGATGATACATTTGCCGTCATCGTTGATCGCACGATGCTACTAGCTATTTTGTTCGCGACCTGGCAGGTGCTATAAATAGCAGGTGGAAGAAATACAGCTCCGAAAAGTTGCGAAACTAACGTCTTTCCTTACAGACGGCCTAAGATACTTTACTGGCAAGGTTTTAACGAGGGTTAACAAAAGTGTGATATTATCTATTCTCCGATGTGCACCGAGTTTGATGAGTGATAAACGATGGACACAAGTGAAAGTAATGCCGAGACTTAAGCAAACTCAACTTGCTACTATGTGTTCTATAGACTGACTCTTGCAAGCCGCGCGCGCATACAAGCGAACATCTATTAAGTGCTCCAGGATGCAAAACTATCGTGTGCCAAGATTCTTTTATAATTAAAAGTTTACTGAAAGTCAAATCTAAGAGATCTTCGGGCTTAAATCGCTCGCATCAGTTAATAAAGCATATTTGCATTTGTGAACAAATTTTTCCGATAGATTCAATCTGATAATTTCATCAAAAACTGTTGAAATTTTTGCGTAAATCTTATTTATTCTTTAATTATATGATACATATAATAATATGATACACATTATTTGTAAAATTAAATATATTGTATTTATTATTAAACAGATTTTTAAGAGAAAGAAATTGAAATGAAAAGAAATTAAAGGCATTTATGTGCAAAAATCATAATCGCAAATTTGATCAATTTGCATCTTTTAAATATCAAAGACGATGCGATCGGCTTAAGTAATGTTGTGCATAATTAACGGTGATAATAATTACAGCACAATGTGTCGCGTTTATTTCATCTTCTACTAATTAAAACATTAGATTTGTTCAATTTTTTATCTTACTGCTTTAATCAATATTCAAAAAAGAATAGCATTATTCCTTTTTTTTTAGTATGCAAGAAACGCTCTTTTAACGCTCTACGACGAGCATAAAACGCACGTATTCAAGCGACAATCTATCCGACATGATTGATGTTACAAGTAAGAGCGGTGCACCTGCTTTTCCGATAATGAAACGATAATTGTTTAATCGGTCTACGACGAGTGTCACAATTAGCGACGATATTTCCGAGCCGCTGCACCGCCATTTCGCCGACATAATTTTCCGTAATTTGCCTAGATGCGACCTTGCTCCGAAAACTAGAACAAGCTGCTAACCTTGCACGCGTGCATCCCCCAATCGAAAGTGCAAGCGCTGGCTGCCGATAATCCTTAACCGCGCGTGAATATCCTGACACTGACAAATTACAGAGTTTAGAACTTGTTAATCTTGATTATCACCCTCTTCACATACACGTAGACACATACACAGCACCGTCACTGATGCGCGCGATGAAAAATTGTAGGAAAGAATGTACGGCTGTACGAACGAGGCCGACAAAGTTAAGAAGTATGTGTATATTACGTGTTTTCGAAAGTTCCTTTTAAAGCCAACGGTAAACTGCAAACTGCTGGAATCCTTTAATCAATATTCAAAAAAGAATAGCAATATTCCTTTTTTTTTTAGTATGCAAGAAACGCTCTTTTACGCTCTACGACGAGCATAAAACGCACGTATTCAAGCGACAATCTATCCGACATGATTGATGTTACAAGTAAGAGCGGTGCACCTGCTTTTCCGATAATGAAACGATAATTGTTTAATCGGTCTACGACGAGTGTCACAATTAGCGACGATATTTCCGAGCCGCTGCACCGCCATTTCGCCGACATAATTTTCCGTAATTTGCCTAGATGCGACCTTGCTCCGAAAACTAGAACAAGCTGCTAACCTTGCACGCGTGCATCCCCCAATCGAAAGTGCAAGCGCTGGCTGCCGATAATCCTTAACCGCGCGTGAATATCCTGACACTGACAAATTACAGAGTTTAGAACTTGTTAATCTTGATTATCACCCTCTTCACATACACGTAGACACATACACAGCACCGTCACTGATGCGCGCGATGAAAAATTGTAGGAAAGAATGTACGGCTGTACGAACGAGGCCGACAAAGTTAAGAAGTATGTGTATATTACGTGTTTTCGAAAGTTCCTTTTAAAGCCAACGGTAAACTGCAAACTGCTGGAATCACCGAATTTAATGCACAGCAGCCGCCGGGAAGTTGGCACAACGGGAGCAAACTTGAGCCGACTATCGCTGAACGGAAAGAATTAATTAATGAATCGACTTTAGAAACTTTAGGAATATATTTGTTATCAAAAATTTCAAGACAATAGTAAATCCTGGATGTTTTATATTATCTGTGAGCATAGTAGCTGCTTTATATTCAACATAGAAACTCTTTTTATCGCGAATCGTATGTTTCAACATCTTTTGGATAAAACTCTATCCGTAAAAAAAATTACAAGAACCTTATTTCTTTTTTAATTTTACTAAATGAAAAGAAGGAACAACCTTGGCCTATCCGAAATATTTAGAATAGTAAATCACACAATATGATTTCTAATAGTTTCGTACATTCTGTTGGTCGGGCTCGATTTCAGCAAATTCAAGCTTCATCCGAATGTAAGTGACATGCATACATAGAATAATCTTGTATATTCGGTCTACGTAGCCGGCGCACATAATTAATCGCGATAATCCTGCCGTGATGCAACGCAGCCTAACGATATTATCCTCCGTCGCTGCGTTGCTGACCTTGTTTATAACGTCGAAATTAGTTATACCGAACGTTCACGAGAGAGATGTTTCTGGTTACGAGTTGCAAGGAACATCTCCCTGCGGATTTCAGCGCATGCAACGCGCATGCAACGCGCTGCTCGCGTTTAACCTTGGGATGGTCGTGCTAAGAATAGAAATAGATGGACGAAAAAATTTGATATTAATAAATCCATTGAAAAAAGAGAGAGAGATAAAAATCTCCAGTCTTAACGGTGAGATTTCCGATGCGTATCAATTCTACGCGCGATGCTCCGGCTACAATTTTCGCTCTTGTTTTCTCTCTCTCTCTCTCTCTCTCTCTCTCTCCCTCGCTCGCATGCGTCTGCTCTTTTCCCGTGTATTTCAGTGGTGAAATATCGTGGAAAATATGTCGCGCTGGATTTATTCGCTGTCGAAGCAGCAGACTCATGCGATCATGACCTATTGTCCGTTTTTGATGATTGCTACTTTTTTTTTTGCGTTTTGCCGAGAAGCGAAATCCGCTGGATCGCTTCGATCTACTAGACTTGTTTCGCAAAATAAAAGTGGCGGTCGTGTCACTGTTCGCTCGTGTGATGATTGATATTTTTTTGGCATTTCGCTGAGAAACAAAATTCGCGTTTTTATCCTTTCGATCTGATGGATCCATGCCACTAGATAAAAATGGAATTAAGGTTTTAAAAGGTTTATCTTTTATAAGTTATTCCCTTTCGAAATGACCGATTCAATTAGGCGAATGATCAAAAGTACCGCATATAATTACCTAAAAGGAATTTATGATCGCAATAAATTTTTCTATCTCTCAACGAGCAAAAAATGGAAAAAGACAGCGTATCCAGCGGTCGGCGGTGCTGCGAGTTTAAATACATTGTTTCATTTACCCCTGTCTCCTCCATTAATTCATTATCCTGCAATAGGCGTCCCCAACGGCCATATATCGTGCATTTTCGACGGGAATAATCCCTCGTACTGCGAATGGCACTCAACAAACGCACCATTCAGTGTCGTTGAATGAAGAGTTCTCGCTGATGTGTGAAAATCCGCGCAGCGGCTTCTCCCGTAGACTAAGAGAATGTTAATGACTGGACAATGCTTTGAGAAAGAATCGATCGCTCGACGCGCGATTTCACGTAACTCTAAACGATAATATCTCTGTAACTACGTTGTCTGGAATATTGTTTAATCATTAAGCGTATAATAAATGGTTTCAACAATTATATACCGATTTTTCAAGTACAATTACACTCTTGTATACTAATATTTTTAAAATTTGAAATAATTACACAAAATGCTTACAATTATAAAAAATAATATAAAAGTACTTTACTTTTAATTTCAGCAGTTAATTATTTTCTGTTATTATCTCATTGATTGATTTTATATTATTTTTATTGTCAT